TAGTGTTAACTTTTATCTACTTCTTTTGTCCTCAAACTCAAACTCACTGCCTTTGAGTCGACCGGACTCATAGGGACCCCTCCTTGGGTTTCCGAGGCAGTATCACTGCGGAAGTAGTTTGCCCAACCTTTCTTCCTAGGAGTGGCTGGTGGGTTTGAACCGTCAGTCTTCTGGTTAGCAGTCAAGTACATTAGGCACTATACCACCAGATCTCCTTCTTTTATCCTAGTTAAGATAATTAAAAGAAGGCAGATGAATTAATATGAAGAGTGTTTGACAAGATCGTCATTCATTCATTCATTCATTCATTCGACAAATACTGATTGAGGACCTTCTGTATTCCAGTTACTTTTCTAGGTGTTGGTGTCACAGCTGTGAGCAAAATGATCAAAAGCCTTGTACTCATGGAAGCTTACACTCCTGTGAAGGAGATAGACAACAAATAAGATAAATAATTTTGTGCCACCCAGGGACTCCAAGTAAAAATATGGTATGGTATAGAGTTATTAGTGTAAAGGAGAAAAAAAGAAAGCATGGAAGAATTAAGTTTAATATTTGGTGGGAGGAGACTTTTAGTTTTAAATAAGATGATCAGGGAAGACCTCGCCAAGAAGATGAGGAAGTAGGAGTGCCTGCTGTGTTTAAAGAATGTTGTGGAGCTGTAGAATAAACCAAGATGGAAGCGGTAGGAGATGAAGGTCTGCTCACTCTGGCTGCTGTGTCGAGAATAGACTGAAAGGAGGTGGAGCAGAAGGAGGGAGAGCCATAAGAGGTCTTTTCAGTAATCCAGTAGTTTGACCCAGAGTGATGGCAATGGAGAGGAAGTAGAGACGCTGAGAAATTGTTGATGCCCCCTTCGCTCTGCCCTACCTCAGGCTTTAAGAATGAATTCAGGAAGCTAAAGAAAAGGAAGAGGAGAGAGCACTTTTTAAAAATTGTTAGTTCACCTGGAATTTGTTTTGTGTATGGTGAGAGAAAAAGCACAATTTCACTTTTCTCTATATGGATGTTGTTTTCCCACCATTCACTGAAAAGATTTTCTTTAGGACATGGTAGTGCCATCACTCTCATTATGTGAGGTGTCCTTGTGTGTATGGATCATTGTAGGGATCTTGGTTATGTTCCATTGATTTATTTATTAGTTTCTGTGACAACATCACATTATCTTGTTATTTTACTTTATATAGTAAGTCGTGATATTTGGTAGAGCGAGAACTCCTACCTTTTTTTAAAACAGTGTTTCAGATATTCTTGACCCTTAGGATTTCCATAAAGTTTAGAATCAGCTTGTCAAATTCTGTAAAAGTTTGTTGGGGATTTTAGTTGGGATTGAGTTAAATCTGTAAATCAATTTAGAATGAATTGATATCTTTCCCTTATAGAGTCTTCCAATTCATGTTAGTCTTCAATAGTTTTATATTTTTTCTATATCTTGCATATTTTATGTATCTTTTGATAGATACTTGATTTTTATGCTCTTATAAAAAGCATCTTTTTAAAATTTTACTTTCTAACAACTTATGATGGGTGTTTGGAAATGCAAATGATTTTTGCATGTGGATTATTTATATAGAAATTTTTCTAAATGCTATTATTAATTCTAAGGAGCTCTGGTAGTAGTGTGATTAAGGCATATGGGTATTAACCAAAAAGTCAGTGGTTTGAACCCACTAGCTGCTCCACAGAAGAAAGATGAGGTAGTCTGCTTCCTTAAAGATTTACAGCCAAATCCAATGGGGGTCACTATGAATTGGAATGAACTTGATGTCAGTGAGTTTGGTTTAGTTATTAATTCTAGTGATTTATCTTTTTTCCTTTGGTCTTTATACATACATAATGTATCATCTTTAGATATTATGCCTTTTATTTATTTTTCTTAACTTTAAATACTGGCTAGAATCCCTAATACAACACAGATAAAAGTGGTGATATTAGACATCCTTGAATTGTTCCTGATTTCAGAGGGGATGCTTTTGATGTTTAATATTAATCAAATTATAAGTTTGCTTTGGTTTTCTACAGATAGTCTTTATAATATTTAGAAAGTTTCATTCTATTCCTTTATTTTTTTGGAAAGTTTTTAAAGATAATGACTGTTGAATATTGTTGTTGTTGTTGTTACTTGCCATCGAGTCGGCCCTGACCAATTATAAAAAATTTGCATCATGTAGAGATACTGATTTTTTTCTTTTGATCTTTTAATATAGTGAATTTTACTATTTGTTTCTCTAATATTAAAGCAACCTTATATTCTTAGGATAAATTCAATTTGGTCATGATGGATTTTTTTAAAATATATTTCTATATTTGGGTTTCTAATATTTTCTTTAGTATTTTTTATATTTATGTCTATGAGCAAGAGTGGCCTGTAATTTTCCTTGCCTTTGTCAGTTTTGGTATTAGGGTTTGCTATTCTTCTAAAGAGGAGCCTGGTGGTGCAATGGTTAAGTGCTTGGCTGCTAATTGGAAGATCATTGGTCTGAAACCCACCAGCAGGACCAAAGGAGAAAGGCCTAGGGATCTGCTCCCGTGAAGATTACAGCCTAGGAAACCCTATGGAGCATTCCTACTCTGGCCTGTTGGGTCGCTATGAATTGGAATCAACTCGAGGGCATACAACCATGGCCTCCTAAAATGAATTGATACATTTCTTTCTCTTATCTTAAAATCTGTAATTTTTGCATCAGTTAGTCCTCGAATATTTGGAAGGATTTGCTGGAGAACCCATTGAGGCCTAGAATTATTTTTGTGGGAAGATTTTTTTTTTTAAATTCTGATTCAATTTCTAACCAAAAAAATCTATCAAAAGGTATATAAAAAATACATCTGTTGTTTGAAAAGATTTGGTTTTTGCAGGTGTCTTTTGAAATTTTTTAGTTTTCTATAAAAATTTCCATTTCATCCATATTTTCAAATGTATTAGAATAAACTTGTTTGTAATATCCCTTATTGTCTTTTAAATATCTGTTCTTTCTGTAATGTACCCCCTTTTATTCATAGTATTGGCTATTTGTGTCTTCATTTCTTTTTCATGTCTAATTTTGCCAGTAGTTTGTCAAATTTATTAGTTTTTTTTAATAGTAGTTACTATAAAAAAAGTGATATACCATTAAAAAGAACAAAAATAAAACTCACTACCATCAAATTGATTCCAACTCATACCAACCCTGACTAGGTTTCTGAGGCTATAATTCTTCATGGAAACAGATTGCCCCATCTTACTTCCACAGAGCAGCTGGTGGGTTTGAACCACTGACCTTCTGGTTAGCAGCAAGATGCCTTATCCACTATACCACCAGAGCTCCTTATTAATACTAGGTATGTTTTAAACTCAACAAGACAATATTATGTTTTTATATGATCACTATTTATTTAGATTTATCTATGCTTAACTCTTTTTATTGCTCATCATTCTTTTGTATTGCTTCACCCTTTGTTCTAGGAACATTTTTCTTCTATTGGAAGAACATGCTCTAAATATTTTCTTTAGAGTAGATCTTCCTTTAGAATAGGTGTGTTTTTTGTTTGTCTGACAATATCTTTAGAACATCTTTACTTTTGCTGGTAGAAAAACATTGGGTTGGCGATTGAAGAAATAACATTGAAGAAATAATTCTATTGTGTTAGGGCTTCCTTTGTCTTTTTGGGAAGTTACCTCCTTTGAAGGTAATATGTTGTCCTCCCCCCCCCCCATATGTTAATCTTGTTTTATGTGGCGAAAATGTATATTAAGAAAATCTGCCATTTCAACATTTTTATATGTACAATTCAGTGATATTAATTATGTTCATAATGTTGTACAATCATCACTTGTATTCATTTCAAAAAATTTCCATCATCTTTAACAGAAACTAGGAGCTCTGGTAGCATAGTGCCTAAAGCATCTAACTGCTAACCAGAAGGCTGGAGGTTCAAACCCACCAGCCACTCCTTGGAAGGAAATTGAAAGAGTGGATTACTTCTGTAGTGATACCGCCTCAGAAACCCAAGGAGGGGTCGTTATGAGTCAGGTTCAACTCGACGGCAGTGAGTGAGTCCTTTTGGAGCTCTGGTGGCATAGTGCCTAAGGTATTTGACTGCTAACCAGAAGCCTGGAGGTTCAAACCCACCAGCCACTCCTTGGAAGGAAGATTGGGCAATCTACTTCTGTAGTAATACCCCCTCGGAAACCCAAGGAGGGGTCGCTATGAGTCAGATTCGACTTGACGGAAATGCGTTTGGTTTTTCATTTGAGTTGATGAATATTAATTTTTTTCCTTTACATATATCCCTTTTGCCATTGTGCACGTGTGTGTCAAGGCAGGGTCACAGTATCAGTGCATGGGGAACAGAGTGAGATCACTTTACCAGTGAGCACTGGTCTCCCAGGGCCAGCAGGCTTATCCCATATATGGCTGGTGCAGGTCAAGTATTCTACATTCACCCATTTTGTGCCATAGTATGAGAGAGCCTGTTTCTTCCCCACCAAGAACAGATGCAAAATGGAGTTGGCCAGGTGCCATATGGTGCTCACATGTGCGAGAGACAGAGAACATTACTGTGTGCCCAACAGGAAGAAGGCGTCCTTGATTAGGAGAAGGAACTCTGAGAGAAAAGATGACCTCATTCCTAGCCTCTTCATCAGAGAATGTTCTGGGCCCGAGGCCTGTACTTAGGCAGCTTGGATGGGAAGCATAGAGACCCACCATTTCCTCAACCATGTGTGTATTCTGAGCTAGAGTCTGAGTATTTTGCCATAAAAATTCATTTTATGCCTCCTAAACTATTTCCACATTATTTTTAATATATAGATAACATCACTATGTATTAACATGAAATTGTCATCCATTTATTCTTTATCCAGCATTACTAGAATTAGATGGTTCAAAGTTGCAAAGAGGAAAATAATTTATTTGGGAAGATTGTACATTTTTGTAAGTCTGTAAAAAACCGGAAAAAATTTGAAGTTTTATATTTATGAGGAATTGTGATTCACTTAATCCATAAACCTCATGGTGGGATCATCGAATCTGTTCTGATTGCCATGCCGTCTTACTATGGTTAATTTGGTGGGGTATGAAAATTGGGACCCCAAGTGTATTCTGGTGATAACAGTTTAGTGGGTTTATGGAGAAAAAAATACTTGTTTAGGTGATTTTCGTATGTGCTGGTAAGTTCTTTATTGATGTCATGAATTCTTCCTTTTTGATACTCTTTAATGAGTTTTAAAACCTCATGGGGAGTCCCACCAAAAATTGCACTGTGATAATAGAAATCTCCCTGCCCAAAGGGGATGAAAGCTGCTGATTTAGAATTTCTCTCATAAGGGAAAGTTTTAGCGTTTTTAAAATACCACCGTCCATGGAGTTGAGCTACCAACTTTCCCAAGGTTTCTACTCCAAAGTCATTCTTAAAGATCTGGTTTACAGTCATAACAAAGAGAAAGTTGACTTCATCCTGCATGTGATTTAAGATGAACACACCTAAATTCTTCATGAATATGAGATGAAAGTCTTGCCACGTATTTTCATCAAATATTGTACATAGTTTAAATGTTCGTAAAGGACCTAACTCTGTGTGTGATAGTCTGGAAGGCTCATCCGTCATGATGTAAAAGATCACATTGTAGCCAGTCATAAAGTGCTTATCGGCAGATTGTATGAGCTGTTTCAGGTATCGATCTTCAAACCTGTGAAACAAGAAGAAAGCATGAGAAAAAAAAAAAACTTACTTTGCTAAAAATCATCAGGTGAGTCCGTGCTAATTAAACATGCTGTCTAACATGTGTCATTGATGCTAAAGAACTACCAGGAGGTGAAGGTAGATCAATTGTTTAACTGTCTTGGTTAATGAAAGACAATGTAGTGAGCTAAAGGGCCTGAGAAGAGCCTGTAGGGTTTTGGAACAGCTGTTGTGGAGCAAGGGAAGTAGAGCTGCATGGATATTAATAAAAAGATTCTCAAGTAATATTAAGGACCCAGACAGGGTTGGAGAAAATACCCCTATAAATTATTATATAAGACAGCCAGAAATAATAAAACAAAAAACCAAACTCACTGCTGTTGAGTCGGATCCAACTCATAGCAACCCCTTCTTGGGTTTCGGAGGCAGCATCACTATGGAAGTAGATTGCCCAATCTTCCTTCCAAGGAGTGACTGGTGGGTTTGAACCGCCAGCCTTCTGGTTAGCAGTCAAGTGCCTTAGGCACTACGCCACCAGAAATAATGGTTAAAGTTAATTATGAGTAACTGTTTGCATGTAGAAAGTCCAGTGTTCATCTGCTGTGTGTGTGTGTGTATATAATATATATATAACCAAACTCACCACCGTCGAGTCAGATCCAACTCATAGCGACCTCTCCTTGGGTTTCCAAGGCTGTATCACTACAGAAGTAGATTGCCCAATCTTCCTTCTGAGGAATGGCTGGTGGGTTTGAACCACCACATATGTATGTTTTCAAATATTAGTAGCACTTACTTTCCAGTAGCAAATACAGCCAAACCTATGGTAATGTTCAGCCTTTTGTAATGTTTTTCCAGGACCTGTCTATTGTAAGTTCCTTCCCATACGACTGGAGCAAACCAGTCAGTTGTTGTTATAACTTCAGGACGTTTTCTGTTGAATAAACAAGAAATAAATCAAGCAGATACTACTCTACTATGACAGCAGAAATTATTGTCCAAGTGACAGTAGCTAATGATTATGGAGTACTTACTGTGTGCTAAGCACTGTATTTGAGTACTTTAAATAACTCATTTATCCTTGTTATGCCTTATTATTATGCTTATTTTTTGCATGAGGAAACTTAAGCACTGGTTGATTAATTGCTTAATATCACACAGCTAATAAATGGCAGAGTCAGAATTCAAGACTCAGCCTATCTAGCTTCAGAGTATATGCTTTCAGCAATATACCATACTGCCTTTTGAACCTAGGGGTTCCTTTCTTTGAGTTCTGAAGACCACTTAAACTCAGCTAACCCATTATCCAAACACTTCTCTGATTACTGTCTAAAGCAAAGATGGATGGCACAGTATTACTGTCTCCTTTATGTGTTCCTCCCCCTGCCTTTTTCCTAGAGGATCTAGAGAACACTCTTTTCACCTTCTTTCTATAATAAGAACAAAATGACGGCAGAAGTGGTAGCATTAGTAATAAATTGGTCAGGGGCAAGGTATGAAATTACTAAAGCTAAGTGCTCCATTTTAGAAGGAATCAAGTACAAAGTGAAAAGCCATTTTGCTAATGGTGGTTGAAGGTTTTAATTATAAATCCAAACCCAGACAGGGGTAGTATTTGGCAACATTTCATAGTATATTAATAGTAGTCATAATAAGAACATAATACTAAATCTTATCTTAATGGCATGTTAGCTACCTAGTTTATACGATTTCATTTTTTCTCTACACTCAGATAATTATATAGATAATATATGCACAACACTATAATGGTGTTGATAATGTGTTCTGATATTTAATAAGGCAAAGTCCTCTTACCTTTCTTATTTTTCACACTTTTCTTGATAATTTTGAGACATTTATTTTTTATAATGACTTTAAAATCACTTTAACAATTAAAAACCAGTAGGGTGTGAATTAGAATTATATTACGTAGTAGAAGCCACACCCTTTGCCATGGAACTCTTCAGGGTCTCTCAGTAGAGAAGGCAGAGTATGCATCTGCTTCCCCACTGACTTTGGTCTTGGCCATGAGATTATTTTGCCCAATGGAATTTTAGAGAACATGGCAAGAGCAGGGCTCTTGTGTCAGCTTCTTCTCTTGTACTTCCGCCATTTGTCATGGGAAGAACATGTCATGGCGGCTGCTAGTTGAAGAATGAGAAGATATGTGGAATAACTTTGAACCTAACCTACAGTCTGGAGTTCAAGTCCAGCCAATCTCAGTTCAGCTCAGCAGAACCATGGTGATTAGTGAGTGAGAAAAAAAATGCTTGTTGGTGTAAGCCACTGAGTTTTGGGGTGGTTGTCATAAAGCATTATCACAGCAATTCCTGACTAGTACAAATTAAATTTATATATTACTTTGGGAGGATTGATGTTATGACATTGTTTCTCATGGTATGACTTTTCATTTGTTCAGATATAATTTTATGTCTTTTAATGGGATTTTACAATTTTGTTTATGTAGGTCTCTGCCTTTCTTACTAAATTTTTATATAGTATTTTAGTTTTGATTCCTATTTTTCAGTCCTAGGCACATTCCTAGAATAGAGAAAATTACTAGTTTTTAAAATAATTTGTTTTACATAGTTACTTACCAAATTATTAATTCTAGTAATTTTCCATTCTTCCTACAGGTTTTGGATTTTTAAATTATACACTGGCAAACTGACATCATTTTCTCTTTTATTTTCTGAAGTTCATGCCACTTATTTCAATCTCTTAATTGTTTCCTATAATCTCCATGGAAGAGTAAAATAATACTAATGATATTGAAGATCCTTGTTTAGCTCTTAATTCTAATTAAAATGGTTTTAATCTTTTGCTAGTTAGGATATTTGCTTTTAGTGTCTGTGATTCCTGTTGGTGAAAAGTAACTGGTACTGCTAATTCTACTGTGGTTTGCCACTTACAGTCATAATTGAAGGGAGTACTAAATTTTGTTTAGTAAAAATAAAGATTTGTTTTTTCTGTCAGAATTCATGGACTCTCCCTGAATTATATCCACAGATAGAGGTGGCATGTCAAATCAGTGGAGAAAACAGGGACTATTCAATAATCAGAGCTGCAGAAAAGTGTTACCCACATGAGCAGAGATGAAATTAGATTTCTACCTAACACCATACATAAATATCAACTCCAGTTGGATTAAGGATTTATCTGTCAAAAATAAAACTTTAAAACTCTTTGATGCAAATATGAGTGAACATAATACAGACTTCATAATAGGAAAATATTTCTTAAGCAAGACACAACATTTTTGACTATGAAGATTAATGAAGTTTATATATTAATATAAGTATATTTTGTTAATCAAAAACTGCCCTAAATAAAGAAGATGCAAATTGTGAGAAGATAATTGTGATACACACAACTGACAAAGGATCAGTATCAAGTATTTTATAAATCATGGATAAAGCACAAGTAATTCAGCAAAATGAAACAATGCAATACACTGTCATCAAGTCAGATCCGACTCATAGCAACCCCTCCTTGGGTTTCCGAGACAGTATCACTATGGAAGTAGATTGCCCAACCTTTCTTCTGAGGAGTGTGCCTGGTGGGTTTGAACTGCCATCTTTCTGGTTAGCAGTGAAATGCCTCATGGACTATGCCACCAGAGCAGTAGAAATAGGCAAAAGATAGGAAGAGATATTTTATTGAAGAGGAATTACACACATGAAGGAATGTTCCATTAAAGAAATGAAAAGACACTAAGATACTTTTTTTAAAATGCCCATTTATTGACAATACCGAATGTCAGAGACATCAAAAGGATTATTCTGCTTTGCAGATGGGAATTTAAACTGGTATACCCACTTGGAAAATAATTTGTTACTACTCACAGGTTGATCGTTCACAAACCCTACCTCCTAACCATTCCTTCTACTCAAGGAGACATGTATAAGACTTTATAGTAGACTGCTTATAAAAGCAAAAGCCTAGAAACAATTCAAGTCCCCATGAATAAACTGGTATGTGGATGAATAAACTGGTATATTTTCATAGCTGATTATTATACAGATGTCAAAACGTATTACAGTGATATACAAAATTTGGATGAGTTTCATCAATCTAATAGTAAAAGGATACTGCATGGTATAAAATCAGGGAGGGTGTGCATTCTCATTGTATCCTTTCACCACACTGTTTGATCTGTAGGCTGAGCAGATAATCTGAGAGGCTGGAGTGTATGAAGGATTGGAGGAAGACTCATTTACAACCTGTGACATGCAGATGACACATCCTTGCTTGCTGAAAGTGAAGATGACTTGAAAGACTTTGATGAACATCAAAGACTACAGTCTTCAGTATGTATTACACCTCAACATAAAGAAAACAAAAATCCTTACAACTGGACCAATAAGCAGCATCACAATAAATGGAGAAAAGATTGAAGTTGACAAAGATTTCATTTTACTTGGATCCACAATCAACACCTATGGAAGCAGCAGTCAAGAAATCAGGCATTGTACGCACTGGGCAGATCTTCTGCAAAAGACCTCTTTAAAGTGTTAAGAAGCAAAGATGTCACATTGAAGACTAAGGTGCGCCTAACCCAAGCCATGGTATTTTCCTTCACCTCATATACATGTGAAAGTTGGACAGTGAACAAGGAAGGCTGAAGAAGAGTTGTTGGCTTTGAATTATGGTGTTGGAGAAGAATACTGAAAATACCATGGACTGCCAGAAGAACGAACAAATCTGTCTTGAAGGAAATGCAACCAAAATGCTTCTTGGAAGTGAGAATGGCCAGACTTTGTCTTACCTACTTTGGTCATGTTGTCAGAAGGGACCATTCCCTGGAGAAGGACATCATGCTTGGTAAAGGTGAGAGTTAGTAAAAAAGTGGAAGACCCTCAGGAAGGTGGATTGACACAGTGGCTACATTGATGGGCTCAAGAATTGTGAGGATGGCTCAAGACTGGGCAGCATTTCGTTCTGTTGTATATAGATATGGTCACTGTGAGTGGGAGCTGACTCCACTGGCACCTAACAACAACAACAACAATATTAAGGGAAAAATACAAGCCCCAGAAAATTTCATACAGCATGATATCCACTTTATAAAGTTATAAACAACTAAAATTTGAAAATACTTTTTTTTTCAGAATACTGACAGGTGCTATAAAATTACATAAAAAAGAAAGCAAGAAGGTGCTGAATTAGGATTCAGCATGATGGTTAATTTCAGAGGGAGAAGAGCACACAGGGTAAGGGTATTGGAAAGGATAAAAAGCCAGATGTTGGGGTTATTATAGGCTGCAGTGTTTTTTTTTTTTTTTTTAACGTATCTAGCAATTTTCCCTCCCCTCTCCTCCCTTTCCTGGTAACTAACAAAGAAAGTTTCCTTCCATAGAAGGCTGTAATTTTTGTTTCATTAAAAATAAAAAAACCTGGGAGGACACACATGCACAGAGCTGCCAGCTGGGCTTGGGCCGGGCTTGTGGCCCCTGGCCTCCCTCCCCTGCTCCTTCCTCTCTAGCTGGGAGCCCAGGTGGCAGCAGGAGACTGGAATGGCATCTGATGCCTAGTCAGTGATGCGTGGGTGCTGGGAGCGAGGAGGGAGGTGGTGGAGGAGGGGATTGGTGGACGTGAACTGCAAGGCCTTCGGTATAGAGCTGAACTGGTGTAAACAGCTTAACATGAAGCCAGCACAGACCCTGTGAGAAAAGGCTAAGGAAATTTAAACGAAAGAATCAAGTGTCCAAGAGGTTCACTTTCTGTTACCTTCTGTGGAGATGTTCACAGTCAATTCCATGATTTTATGGGACTCTTTAGAATTTTTTTATGGGATTCTTTACAATTTGTGGAAAATCACCAGATACAAGCCATATGTGTAACCAGTGACTGTGTAGACAGATTATTATTCAGTGGAGACTGTGACTCTCCTTGTGGGCCAAAAGTGAGTTATCCAGAATGTACTGCAATGTTGAAAAGAAACCATGAAAGTGGACAAATTACCCAAGTATATGGTTTTTATAATGAATGCCTGTGAAAGTATGTAAATACTAATGTTTCTGTTTGATTATCTTCCACTTACAGCTCTAGTGGATGGACAGATATTCTGCCTCCATATTGTGGTGGCTTCTCTTTATCCATAGATACACTGGATCATGTAAGAATCCTGATGGTATATGAGAATTTTCACGAGGGCCCAATGTGTGATCTGTTATGATCAGATCCAGGTAGTTACAGTAGGTGGGATTATTTCTTCTTCTAGTACCAGCTATACATTTGGACAAGACATTTCTGAAACATTTAACCATGCTAGTGGCCTGGTGGCATAACAGATAAGGCACTTGGCTGTTAACCAGAAAGTCAGCAGTTCAAACCCACCAGCTGCTCCACAGAAGGAAGATAGGGCAATCTACTTCTGTAAAGATTTGTAGCCTTGGAAACCCAAAGGGGGTCACTATGAGTCGGAATTGACTCAATGGCAGTGAGTTTGGTTTTTTTGGTTTAGTGGCCTCATACTGGTATCTTGCACTCATCCACTTACAATCAGTGTGGGTAACATTGTCAGGGCACCCAATTACTATCATCACTGTGGGAACTAGGCTGCTTTCATGCAGTTATGTGTCTTTTTGAAATATTCCTTTCTTCAGTTAACCTAGTGCCTTTTAATGGAGAGCTTCGTATTGATGGGTGTACCCCAGATTGCTTGATGTTAGTCGAGTCAACTCCACACTCATGTGACCAACTGTGAAACCAAATGAAACATTGTGAGGTTCTGGGCCATGTTCATGATCACTGGTATATTTTAGTTCATTGTTCCAGCTATTGTGTAGTGCCTTCCAAACTAAGGGGTCATCTTCCAGATTCATATAAGACAGTATTCTGTTGTGATCTATAAGGTTTTCATTGGCTAATTTTCTGCAGTAGATTGGCAGGCTTTTCTTCTTAGTCTGTATTAGTCTGGAAGCTCTGATAAAGCCTCTCCACCAAGTTGACTCTGCTAGTACAGTAAAACCTAAGAATGCTAGAATCTGTAAGGTGGAAGCCTGTCGGAGAAGGAACATTTAATATTTTCCACTGATAGATAGTGATAGAAAAATGGTAAGACTTCACCCTGTCAGAAGTGGAGAACTTCTGAGATCTGGAAAAACAATGGAGTCCCAATGAGTTCCGGTTCTCACACACTTCATTGTATTTGAAATACTCGTGGCAACACTTCCAATATCTTACCAACATGCACCCTAGACTACTTTCCATAAATTGCTCCTGGATCTGCCTTAGCATTTGACCACATCATAGACCAAAATATGTCATACTAATGATTATCAGTTAGCAGTTTGAAACTGAAATTCAATATAGCACTGTGTTCTAGATCAGTCAGTCTAACAGCTTGACCACTATATTTATAATAACCATTTTTTTGCTGGGGTTTAGAAACAAAAAAGTTAACTAAATCTTTCATCTCCTTTTGCACTTATTTGAAACTTTAGCTATAGTTTTTAATGCCATGGATTAATATAGTTAGAGTGTGGTAGTTAAGGTTGCATGGCAACTTGGCTGGACCTTGGTTGAGTGGCTGGGCAGCTGGCGGTAGTTATTCCCCATGGTGAGATTGGTGATTAACTCCATGGTGGACTCTACTGGAGCAGCTGAGTAGCTGCTTTAGGGATGTGGGCTGCTTCCAGTGTACAAGAAGACACTTTGAGAAAGGTCTCCAGCTTTTTGGCACACTTGAACCCTGCATTTAGCTAAGGCGTTCTTCAGCAGCCTGACATGCCCTGCCGATCTTGGGACTACTTCTGGACTTGAGTTAGTGGCCTGCCATGTTGTTTGCTAACATTGGGACTGTGCCTTTGTACTTGTCAACTCTGGGTTTGTCAGCCTGGTCAGCCAGCAGCTGCCTGAGTGAAGGGATGTCTCTAGCTTCAGTGGGCCGGGAGCAAGAGGCAGAGCTGAAGCTCAAGGTTGAGGTGTTTCACCCAGCCTCTAGAGCCTGGCACTTTGAATTCAGATCTTCTAGCTTCCAAAATTTTAAGAGAATAAATTCCTGTTTGTTCAAGCCATCCTATTTGTGGTATATTCCTATCAGAGCAGCACTAGGTAACCAAAACATGGAATTTTATTTGTAAAGTTAATTCATAAAATATCTTCCACTTAATCTATCACTTTTCATTTTATTAAAATATGTGATTAACTCAATGAAAGATTCATCTTGGGAATATGTTGTCATAAGATTTAAGGATATTTCCCTTTATTTAAACTGAATTATTATCTTATGTTGATTTGCATGTTTCTGCATATTTGTTATGACAGTGCTTGCATTCTATTTTGTGTACTAAGCAAAATAAACTTTACATTAAAAGAAAAAATCCACAACCAAGCAAACAAACTAATAGATAATATAGACAGATTTTACATGGATCAATGAGGTGAGTGTGTCATTCTGAAAAGCAAACCAAACTCACTACCATCAAGTCAGTTCTCACTCATAGTGATACCCATTGGGTTTCCAAGGCTGTAAATCTTTATGGAAGCAGACTGACTCATCTTTCTTCCAGGAGTGGCCGGTGTGTTCAAACCACCATCTTTTTGGTTAGCAGCCAAATGCTTTAACCACTATACCACCAGAGCTCCTTGAGTGTCATTAACTAGGGATTATTATTAATCTAATTCATGTACCTGAGGTCCATTAAAAATATAAATATGAAAAAGGAATATACAGAAGATGAAACACAAATGAACATATATAAAAATGCTCAAACTCAGTAATAATTACAGAAATTTGAACCAAATTGAGATATTTTAACTAACATTTTACCAATAATAAAATGTTTTATATTACTGAAGATCAAATACATAAAATACTATTAAATTTTATCCACTTAAATGAGAAAATAATATGATGCCATTATTAAAGAGCAATTTAGCAATTTGAATCAAAACTTAAAATATCTGTATCCTGTAACTAATGACTCCACTCTAAAAATTTATCCTACAGATAAATTTATACAATACTGTAAAAAATACGTTTACAAGGATATCATGGAAATATTACTTACAATAATCTCCAAACGGTAAATAATATAATGCCAATAGTGAATTGGTAAAATAAATTATGGTATGCAATCATAAAATAGAATACTATAGAGCCATTAGGAAGAATGAGGCTCTTACCTAAGTGTTAATGCCAAAACCAAGAAAGATTATTAATGGTATGTTCAGGCTACTTCCAAAGAGATTCCCTCTTTCCCCTAATAAAACCAGGAATGTGATTCTTGATAAATAGACCCTAGGTGGTAGCATAGTACCTAAGGCACTTGACTGCTAACCAGAAGGCTGGCGGTTCAAACCCACCAGCCACTCCTCGGAAGGAAGGTTGGGCAATCCTACT